AAATGCTTCAAAATATCACTGCCATTGTTGTAGTTAACTTTTTAAAATAAATTTGCAACTGTTTTTCTGTTTGAATCCTCTGTCTGGTAGTTTTTTTCTTCTGCTAGAACTGAAGGTTTTTCTTCTGCTTTAAAGAGAATATACAATTTCAAAAGAATGTCTAATGTTTTAATAATAGTTCAGCACCTTCATATAAACCCCTCACTTATGCAGATAAACCCTTTGAAGTGCTGGCTGTGTGCAATGCACTCTGATCACATAACTGCCTTCTGTTCCTGATGCTACAGCGCTTTACGAACAGGGTAAAGAGCATGAACAGCAGGCAACTCCAGGCAGTTTATTACTGCAGACGAGCATATTACAAATGTAACAGAGAAAATCCTACTATGCTAATCACAATGAGGCAATTCTCTCTATTTAGTCTGACAACAGTAGTATCTGATGCACTGTGAATTCTATTCAGTCTTCTAAATTCAGTGGACTGCATACAGCTCTTAAAAACAATTGAACCATTATGAGAAGCTCTTTTTTTTTTTCATTTGGGTAAAAGAGCTCTAGTTCAACCTTCACAGGTGATTAAATCAACATACTCTTTGCCTCCATAATACAAGCATAAATTACATATAAACAAAAAGACAGCAGAAAAAAAACCTCAACACACCCTGCAAAATCATTTGCATTTAATAACATACATAACTTGTTATTCGGTATACTAACTTTTTTTTTGTTTGATTGAGTTTTCTGCCTGCAGGGGTTTTTGTTGAAGTAATCCATACGGTCTTTTTTGAAAGCAATTACCTTACTGAAGAGTAATCCACTATGATCTGCAGTAGAATGCAATTCATTAAAAATCCATAGACTGAGCACTTACCATCACACCTGAGAAGCAGATGCCTTCAAAATACCACTCATGGTTGGGGAGCTGGTAACTGGCAGCATGCAGAGCTTTCCCATTTGGAAAGTATAGGAGGATGTTCACAACAATACTCCAAAGTGCAAGAGGTACCAGCAGGCAACTCAAACAGCTTCCACATGTCTCCAAAGCCATCTCTCAAGAACTCTGGAAGTTTTGTTCTTCTAAGCTAATAGAAGTTTACAAGACCTTCAATATAAGAAATGTTTTGACCTCCCCAGCTAGATTCAGTCATTTCATATTCACAGGAACCAGTGACTGGGGTGTGATTCCAGGAACAGAAGTGCTTAACAGTTAGCAGAACAACACATGAATATCACTGTGCAAACTCACTGTCCTGTGTTAAGCACGTCTTTATGTAGTCATTTCCCTTCCAAAAGATCCTCCTTTGTGATCTTCCAAATGAAATATGTCTAGGAATCAGATTCAGGAAGGAACTTCAAAGCTCTCATTTCCTAGTGACTGCTGAAAAATGTCCTCCTCCATAAAACACAAACTACAACATAGTTTGTGACAGAAGCAAGGTTTTTCAACCTTACTGCAGCATGGGGAAGGGGGCTGTAAGAATGTAAATATGCCCAGTCTCTGTACAAAAGACCACACTTTGCCTTATAGTACAGAGATTTATTAAGAGGACCCTAAGGGGGAAACAGTGAGTTACTGACTTGCAGCAGCAGGCTGAGTCTGGGCCATCTTGCAGAGACTGTAGAAGCCCAAATAACACTGGTTAGAAACTGCAAGGCAAACTTATTTTCACACTTTTAATCAACTGCTCTTTCTCACGGCATTATGTGGCTCCAGTGCTTTGCAAATTAAATCCTGCTATTTCTCCAATTGTTTCATTCTGTGCTTACAGCTGAGCTTGCACAGCTACAAGCCTGACCTATGTACACGTGACTTCTTGTGCAGGACAAAAGGTCTGGCTCTTGTTTTGAAATGCCTGTTGTTTGCACTGTGCAAAGCCAAAGTCAGACAGCTTTCCCATAGTCAATGTCATCATTCCCCAACCTCTGAGCATCTAAACACTATCCCAGTAACACAGAGCAGGGCAGTTTGAACACTTGCAAGCACAACCCAAGAACCCAAGCCTTCAGTCTTACACCCCTTTGAGTGACCAGAAAAGTAACTCGAGAATGACCTTATGCTTTACTCAATAGTAAAGTTGCAGCCAGAGGGAAAAAAAAAAATCACCACAAAACAAACAAAAAAAGGGCCTCTGTCAAAAGCAGGAAGGCTGTTTTTAGAAGCAATGACATCCCATTATTTTCCTTATGTTTCCTTGTGAGCTGTTTCAGGTTCTTCACACATGAGGCTTCTCTCATCCTCTCATAAAAGCTGTTTTTATTGCATGTTGTAACTAATTCCATACTATTGCTTAATATGAGATCATACAAGGAAATGGGCAGGGTGGTACTCACACAATTACACCATTTTTCTACCCGTTCTCTGCTGTGACTCTCCTCTTTTCCTAGGAGGCTTCATTTTGAAGTCCTAATTCTTGATATTCTCATGTTTCCTGTTTTACTCCCTCACCACCATGGATACTTTTTTTCAGGTCTTCCTCTAATCAGAATTAGTAGCAAAACTGCCTTTCCAGACTCATGGGCAGAGACAGAACTCATGTCATCAACACTATGCCACAGAGAGCAGAGAAAACAGCTGCATTAAAATCACGCACATCCAATCCCCATGACTGATTTTTTTACTACAGAACTCAAAGATCATAGAATTGGCTGAAATATTTTCTTAAAAGCAAAGGCCAAAATTAGTAGCAAGCATCTTATTTTATAATCAAATTTGATGCCATTTCCATTATAACCTGTTCTGATTAGAAGAAGCTAACTTGAGAAATTATGACTGAAGCAGCATTTGTTCTACAGTACAGCAGTCTGCTTCCTGACTTTTTTTTTTAAACTGAGCTCTGCAAATACCAGATTACAGTGTGGTTATTTTTCTGGCACACAATGCCACTAGAACAGGAAACAACTACTTTATACTAAGAATTAAGCAAACCTGTAAGCCAGTTTCTCAAGCATCTTGCCAAATGTCGCAAACACTACTTTTCCACTGCTGTCATTATTCATGAACTGACTCCAAGCCTGTTACCGAAAAGTCATGTTTACTCTGTGTCACTTCTCTGCCAGCTGATATGAATACAACCTAAAGCAATCACTTCTTCACAATGTAACTGACAAATCTCTCAAAACACTGTCTTATGCACCAGACGACAAAATAATCCAGCAGGCCATTTTTTTACATGACAGTATAAATAGTGAGCAGTAATGCTGTGCATTAGGGCTACAGGGATCTATTGATGCTGCATGCATTTGTGCTGAAGTTTCAAGTCTAAACCCTAGCCTAATCATTCTATATATCAGAATTCTATATATTGCAAAATTGTTTCAGTTCTTTAAGTAATTGTGTGTACCAGAAAAACAAATAACAATTATGCAAGAATAAAAGCGAAAAACCTTAAGTTACATGTAGTTATACATTATTCCATTGAGGACTTTCTTTTCCACTTTCTCTCCTTCCACACCCCATTTAAACTCGCAGATATTTTTTTCAAAACTGCATCTTCACACACAAAGACACTGTATCACACAGCTGCAAGGAATTGTGTGTGTATACATATGTGCATGCACACACTCTCCTTCCTCCCTCCCACAGCAGGGCAGGAACAGGGATAGACACTACAAAGAAATGGCATTAAATGACATTAAAGTCCTTCAACTACTTCTATGTATTTAGGTATGAATAAGTACTCATGCAAAATTCAGGTATCCTGAGATTCTAGATACAAACTCTTTTCACCTGAGAATTGTTTTGCTGGTGTAGATATACATAGACAATTTTGCTTTCATAGTTCACTTCTTTTTTCAGGTATGTATTTGTACAGGCCAGACTTAACTGTGCAGACAGCCTGAGATACACCTGAAGTTTCTGGCTATCTTTAAGGACCACTCTCCTAGTTACAAACAGCCTAAGCATGCACTGGCACCCATTTTGACACCTTTTTCTCCCATGAATAGAAACTAACTTGCTCATTTTCAAAGACAATAAGAACAGCTAAATTCCAAAACGGAGCCTCATTTCTTTGAAATAAAGATCATGTCACATTTTGGTTTTCACTTGAAAAATGCCATTGCCAGCAGCAATGCTGCCATGCTGGCTTTGTCAGCAATGCTGCTGGCAGCACATTATTCAGATGTACTTGTGGTGAAACATTCACTCTAATGTGCAACAAGCTACACTTCAGAGGTTCTTACCCAGGACCGTACAGTAATGCCTTCAGGCTGATAACTGGTAAAGTCAGGTATTTCAGATTAATCTGTCTTTACTGACCTGAATTTGGACTGTATTCCTTGAAGGCTGCGAGTCCTGAGGGTAGCTGAGGCAAAAAAACAAGAGTCATGCCCACATCTTGTTTTATCTCAGGCCTGTCATGGAGCAATCAGGAGGTGATCCCCCTTGGGAGGGCAGGAGGGGCTAAGCTGGGCTCAGGTGTGCAGGGACCCACTCAGCTCCCTGGCTGAGAGCTACCAGCCCTGACCCAGGACTAAATCTCCACATGTGCTGCTGTATCTGACCAGAGCTGTTGTTGAACCCTTATTGATGAACAAACACCTGTTTCAGTTAAATGAGCCAAACCAAGCAAGGAAGAAGTTCCCACTCTGGCAGAGCCTGCTGGAGAGGAAAAACAGGTTATAACCTGACTGCATTAAATCCATGTCCTCATGTCACCACTGTCCTTTACTCCAAGACCAGGCCAGCAGTGTTTCAGCATGGGCAGGGAAGGAATCACTGACACCTCCTGGGTATTTTTAATACAAATCTTTATTTGTGAAATAGAAGGGAAGTTCAGAAAAATCCTGAAAACCCTCAATCATCCACATTTTACTGCTGCTTTGATTTTGGTCCAGCAGACCAAAACCTTTTATCCAGGCTAGGCTGGATTTGGTTTGTATCCATTCCAAGATCGGAATGAAAGAACAACTTTATTGGGAAAACAAGACAAAGTACAGAACTGTTGTGTCAGTAGAAAGAGAAAAATAAATAAAGCCACTTTAGTGACGTGTTAAGGAAGTTGCCTGTACCAATGTGAAATGAACCAAAGATGTTCAGGATACATTTTGCTTTTCAGTTCAGGCAGGTTAGTGGAAAACCTGCATATGACTCCAACAACAAAGGCCCCAAGTCAGTTAAATTCGTGGCAACAGCAGAGTTTGACAACAATGTGTATTTCAGTTTCCCTGGAATATTTAAAAAAAATCCACAGGATATTCATTACAGCACACACATGCACCGATGTCAATACATTGTCAGGTTTCTAGCAAACATATGTCTGTGGTGGGAACAAAAAGAAAGAAACATATTAATGGAAAGAATGCTAATAGTGTTTCCAACTAAAAATGCAAAATTAACCTGACCATATTTAGAAAACCATAGCATAGCTCTTTTATACTGGAGTTAGAGCAAGGAAGACAGGAGGAAGAAAGCAGCAATAGCTTTGAAAGAGCCCCAGCACTGAACTGTGTCAATTAAAAACATGAAATTCATGCTTACCTATTGTGTGTTATATAAATTATATCTGGTTCATACTTTAAGCCATGGTTATTCCAACACTAGCACTCTGATACTGATTTTGGAATATGTCCAAACTATTTAACAAGGCTTTAAAGAAATTTGGAGAAAATTTCCTTTCCTCACTCAAAAAGAAAAGGAAAAAAAAAAAAAAAGAAAAAAAAAAAAGAAAAAAAAATTCACCTTCAAAAACTGGCCAGATCTGTCTGCAAATTTTGTTAGCTGTGGACAAAAGCCAAGGCTAACACAATATAGTTAGAACAAGCGCCACACAACACCACAATGGTTTAGGCAAAGACCACAACCACCAGGAGATCCATATCTCAGTTATACCACCTATGCAATGTGGTGATGATCACACATGTCATTGGACAGACAAAAGCCCTCTAGCTCCTAGCTCTCAGGCAGATTAACAGCACTGTGACAGCTGAAGAATCAGCTGAAAGCATGTGATCAAACACTACATGAAAATTCTAATCACAACAGGGCTATAGAAACAGCTGTACAGGGAATTGTTGATTAAAATACCTATAAAGTAACTGCTGAGTAAAACTCCACAGTAGTGTAAGTAACAAGTTACATGCTCATCTAAGAAGCATGGGTATATCTGCAAACTACTTACCTCCTCATGACTGCAGCACAACCCACACAGTCCTCCAAGAATGCCATTGATTATCTGTATGAAGCACAGAATGAATTCTATTCCTCCCAAAACAAGGAGGATGGAAAAGAGGGTGACATTCCACTGCACGATGTTTTGAGGTTCCTGACATTCAGACCACTTGTTATACTCAAACAAGTACCTGTACACAGCAATTAAGAGCATATTAACATTGTGTCAGAAGAGGATACCTACCATATACTATAACCATATTATGTCTAGTCTGTAACTGCATTGAGGATATTCACTCGGTGGAGTCCTAATAGGCTAGGTTCCCTTAGAAATACATCCTTAAGGGAATAGAAAAAGCAATGGTTTACTCCATGCAAGGTTTTTTTTGGTTTAGGAAGATGCTGAAATATCAACCACACATTTTTGCTAAATCTTAATTTCTTTTTAAAAAAGTAATCTAAGTTATAAAGGCAGAATTTCCAATTGCTGGTTAAAGCGAGACACAAACTCAAGAAAGCTGAAAGAGCAAAGGTTTTTCTCAAAATGATCACAAGAGCTTTGCAGGACTGGGCCTTTTTTCTAAAGATAGCAGTCACCAGTGTGAGGCAAATGGGTCACTTTCTCTCCTGTGTTGCTGTCTTTGGGTCCTCATATGCTCACTTGGATGAGAACAAATTTGGTGAAGTGCTGCAGTGTTTCAGCTGTTACTGCCCACTTACATCTTGAGAACACCAGCACTTGCCTTCAGCAAGGACTTAGACTAGTTCTTCTACACTCAGTCGCAGTCAGGAGGATGGAGAAGGAGGAATGATACGAGTGAAATACAAGACATGCAAGAGATACAAGTGAAATATGAAATTCAAACTCTGCTGCAAAGAGCTTTATGTGGCTTCTTAGTACTCCAGCTTCCTCTAGTCTGGCATCAGCCATAACCTGTTGCTAGATACACCCTCGAGGTTGCCAGCCATACAGACACTTTAAAAGCAAGCCATGATAGGATCCACATCAGGATTTATGTGCATTAATGGAGAATAGCACACTGAGACTTTTTGCAGGGGAGCCTTAATTAGGGATAATTAGGAGCTTCTTGTCCTCTCTGCTCTGCAGTATACAAAGATTCTTATAAATCTTCTCAAGTTTCATTTATGAGATTCTATGCCATTGTCACTAATGTGAGCATTGTGCCACTTTATGCTGGTGCAAAGCATCTTCAGAAGCAAGACTGAAAAAACTGACACACAAACAATAAGACAAATATCTTAACAACCACTATTCCTAGTCTGTAAATCCTTCAAAGTCCTAAAACTTTATGTTTTGTTAGAGATGTTCGTGGACATGAACAGTAGTATATGATGTATCGATTTAATCACCTATATATTTTTTTATGGCTTTGGTTTTATACTCTAGCAGTGAGGGTAATTGATGCCATTTGTTAAGTTCTAAGTGGGAAGGATAAAGTTATTAATAGATTTTGGTATATGGTTCCTGAACATTGCTGAAAGGTACGGGAATAAAGCCCATGTGTACATAGGGAAGAGAGAACATCCTCATGAACAGATGACTTACCCTCCAGATGAGTCAGTGAAAGGATAGATCCAGTTTCTTTCTAGGCGGGTAAGACAATACGGTCCTTGAGACAAGCCCAGTGCTGAAATGATTATACAGTATCCAGAGCCAAGGATCCCAACAAAGGCTGCCAGAACTGAGGACAGCATCTGCAGAGCAGACATAAACATGAACTCTCAGCACAGCCATTGCCTTGTCTTTACCTGGGATTACCTGGGACTGGGATGTACAGGCTCACTTACCGCACAGCTCTTTCCACAGCCCTCATGGCCAAAGCACCCACAGCAGTCGTCATTGTGAAGCCCAATGAACACTGCAGCTGGAATGAGTACCTGGGTATGGAGAAAAAACCCACACTGTTCCTTTTGGTTGCAAAGAGAGGGCACATATAATACAGTCTTCAAATTGCATTCATTAATGTTGCTTGTTGGCAGTCAGCTGTACAGGTGATTCAGCTTTACTCCTATTTAACACATCTCACTACTGACATCACCAACCCCAGACAGGTACATTTCTATTGCCACTGTGGCAATGTTGCACTTAAGCACAGCAAGAGACTGTTGGGGTATTGCTACATTTAAAGTATTTCAGCTTTAAAATTTTCTCTTTTCATTAAAGGCTGTATTTGCAAATAAAATGCTTTGCAAAAAAAAAAAAAAATAAGAAAAAGAAAGGCAATAACTTTATTCCAAAGAGGACTACAAAATAAATATTTTTGAAAAACAGCTGCTGCCAATATACTTGTTACTTAAGAGCAATCATCATTACTTTTGTGACAAACCAGTCTGACTAGAGTAGAAAGTCTAGTAAAATTTTGCTCAATTCAGAAAAACATCTCATTATAGACATCTACTTTTTGTCCAAGATTTCACAACCAGTGACAGAAATGCAAAGTAGCAAAGAAGAAGCTATCCACGAGAAGCATAAACCATCCATACTCCAGAGTTTTTAGCATAAAATCAAGAATGAACTGAAGGAGCTGAATGAACAAGAAGGTGTTGATTAAAAAGAGGATCCTCCCACCAGCAATAATAGCCCTTAACATTAACATAAGTGCCCACTTATAAAGACTCTACACCCAAGAGTACTCCATAAAAAAAGTAAAGAAAGGATAGAGAGTTATTTGCAAATGCCACAGACTTACTTAACATGAAACTAGAATAATAACTATCCTGTTGAACAGACACATGCTTGTCAACCCTTACTCAAACCCGATGCTGAGCCTCAGTGCTTCAAGTCCAGAAGAGGTTGTACAAGTGCACTGCAGGAGAAGTTCCATTGGTTCCATTTCTATTATTCTGTGTGTAAAGCCCAGACTTTGAAAGTCCCACTCTAGGTCCCAATGGGACTGTAATACAGCTGTAAGTACCTCTCACAATACAAAACACCTTAGCATGCAATTGTTTTCAACCTGTGATTTGCAGACACCCTGAGATCATAAAATTATAGAGTGTTAAGAATTGGAAGGGACCTATAACCTATTTCTAAGAGGACTTCTAAAAGAAGATGAAAAGAGAAGCCTGGAGTTAGGGGTCTTAAATATGCTGCAGTGTGGTCTACAAAACTAAAAAGATAGAAAATAAGAGCTTCACATTAATGACATCCTATAATGAACACACTCAGTCCTTGAATCCTGTTACTCAAATGCAAACCTTTGACAACTACCACTCAACTCCTCTGAATAAACAGCTAAGGCAGAGAAATGCCTGTCAGCATGTCAGATAATAGAAATTAAGGAATTGTATCTAAATGCTCATTATTTAGGGACATTTAAAAGGAAAGTGGTTCAATAATATAACAAAAATTTAAGATTTAACCCTTTACGCAAACTGTGACCTGCTGAGAGGTTTGGTTTCACTTTTGCATTTGGATTCTGTGATTTTTTCAGCTTTAAAGTGACATAATGTTGTAGATAAGATAACCAATAATAATTAATTGTAGCTATGGGATAGTAAAACTCTTTTTTTTTATACAACTCCAGAGACACCTGTTGACAAGACATTTGATGAATAAATTCAGGTAACCAGAAGAGAAAGAGCAGTACCAAGTACCTCCAAAATAAACTTAAAAGAAGACACTAGGTTGTTACTTACCAGAAAGCCTCCACCTAGAATGCCATGAAGGCACTCCACGTATTTGCTGAGGTGATGCTCTGAAGCAAATCTTGTTTCGCCATTGGGAAAATAAAGTAAAGTGTTGGCCACAATGCAGAGGAGAGCAAGGATGAGCAACTTACAACCAACACATCTAGCACACCTTCCAAAACACATATTTTCAACTTTAAAAATCCTCCTTCAACTTGTCCAATTCAATCTATCTCACACCTGTCCACACCTAAAAGAAAATCAGTGTTTGTTCTCACCTCCTTAAATACCAGGAGTTACCTAATTACCTAGATGACGTTTACAACCCTTCCTAACCACCATGCCCAATTGCAGAGGGAGAGAGCAGGGATGGCAGGACACCACCACCCTTTTAAAATGCATTAATTGTAGATTAACTGGATGCAATGAAGGAAATACTGAATACTAGGGAATTTCACACAAACATATGATGCTTGGAATAATCACTGGTGAGCATGATTAGATGTGAACAACAGGCTTAAACCACAACACAAGTTCTGTTAGGAACTGAAGGAAAAATGCTTTGTTTTCTTTGTTAGAAGCAGCTTTGAATTTTAGGTTTATAGGCTGATTCAGAACACCTGAAGCCAGGGTGAGACTTGGCTGACTTCAATAGCACTGAGTCACAGTTTTGGGTATAAACAGAAAAAGGTCTACAGCAATGAGAAGTATGTAGAGCAACCTCTCACTTTGCTATCCTGTTGATGGAAAAACAGAAAACCTCACCAGGAGGTTGGAAAACAAATAAAAGGAACAGGTAAGCTTCTTAGGAGTATCCTTGTTCTTTCCATTATAAGACAACAAGATTTTAGATTAACAGTCAATTAGTAAATGGTTTGGTAACAGCTAAACCAAGCAAACACTTGTGAAAAATACTGCTTAAAACAAGGACTATAAAAGAGAGTCCTTGCATTGAAATATCATGTATAGAAACACACACAAAAAGAAAAATGCCAAGAAAGAAACAGATTATATCCAAGTTTTCCAAATGGCTTCATGTACCAGTAACATTAATTTCCATAGTAAATGGTGACAGAAAGTGCGCTATAAAAATTAAGATTTAGTCTTTTCTCTTTTCCCTCACAAATTTTTCTAAACGAGCCCAGGGCGTTTTTCTTCAGATACAGCTCAACACAAAGGTGTGAGCTGCCATGCCTCCTGCCATCACATGACAGGAGGTAAGTAAAATGCACAGGCCCAGACTAGATCTAGGTGGTGCTGCTGCTGCCATCATCACAGTACAATGTAATTCTCGTTGCAAAACCAGAAGCTAGACAAATGGAGTTTGGGAATGCACAGGATATTAGAAGACTATAACGAAACTTTAAAAGAACCACTCAGGTTTCGTTTTTGAAGGTGGGGTGGGGTGTGTTTAATAGCTAAATAACACAGTAGACACAAGCCCAAGTCAAAACCACGGTATTCTTGCAAAAGATGTGTGGAACGCTTAAGCTGAGAAAGAGTGTGCAAAAATAAAAGTGGGGGGTGAAGCAGGGGCAGAGAGCAGGCTGGTGCAGCTGTGGCTTTGTGATGTAACTTCTCCGGGTATTGTAGATGCTGACCTTGGACACTTCCTTCATCATGAGAAATATCCTCCAATTGTACACACATAGGCTGGCCATTATTGTGTGCTCCACCTCTAATGACTAAAACAACCCTAAACATCATTCTGCAAGTTTCCTCTGCAGAAGAAGACGGACGCTTAACTGAAAACTTCCTTTATTTTGTTGGGCTAAAAGCCCAAACCACTCCTTCCCCAAAACTCACCACACAATACACTTCCCCCCACCTCAACAACCACACCAACATATCGCCTGTGGGACATGGATTTAAAACCCTAGCCCTAACAAATTATTTGAAAACTTGTGAATTTGTTCTACTTGCAACTTATACAATGGTTTTCTAAATATTTCATTTAAAAAATTACATCATCAGGAACTCCCTATATTTAAAATCAATTCTATATTTAAAATGTCTTCTAATAACCTTGAAAACAGTGTAAAGAAAGAAACAAAACAAACATTGTATTTGATGCAAATACAATTTTTTTACTTTGAAATATCTGGTCAGGTGTGAATCAAGGAGGCTTCAATAATGTCACTGCCATTTGGACACCCTATGGTACAGCTTCTACCAGAAAGTCTAACCAGAATATAACTTTTCTTTGCAGAATTTGTGGTGGTCCCACCCACCATCAGAAAAAGGTTAATGGAGGAAAGTGACTCTCATGGAAGTACTGACAGGATGTGGTAACTGTATGGCATCTGCAGGTGAGACACAGCAAAGGAAATAATGGCATGGGCTTCACAGACTTATTTGGAAAAATTGAGCAACACAACATATGTATTTACACAAGTTATTAATTCCCACTTGTATTCTCTGGTAAGCTGTTCTCCTTTGGTCTTTTACTGTTTAATAGGCTGCTGCTCATGGAGGCCAATGCTAGCTCAGATAATAGTTGGGAAGATAGTGGGAATGTGTGGTCACCTGTTGGCTAAACTAAGGGCAGACTCTTGGCCAGCTGTGCAGACAGAGCTCCTGGTGACCTTAGGACAACTCCAACTCCCTTGGACCCATCCATGCTGCCATCCATTTCTCAATGTCCAAATGGTGCATTACCCATGTTTTCCAGTAATCATCCACAAAAACACCGTGATGCAGCTGTAACTGTCCTCACCACCTCTCAAGTGTACGTTGGTTGACAAACTTGACCTGGACAGTCACAAGAGGAAACTGCTCATAATGAAGCCCTTAGTGCCTATGGTCTCCTCCCCACAGACAGAAGAAAGTCTCCAGATTACTTTTATTAATTAGATCGCAACACCTCAGATGAACTAATGAGCTACTTATGAGCACAAGCAACTACCTGTTGTTATGAGAGCAATTGCTCCTAACACAGCTGTAACACACATGCACGTGCTTTGCTTGCTTGTTATCTCTGTCATCACTTTGAGACAGAAATCTGATCTGAACCATAGAAGTCAGAGTGGAGTGAGTGCTCACACTTCTATGTAACAACACACACTGACACACACAGAGAACATTTCATTTATTAGTAATAATGCTGACCTAAGAAGGAGTCAGCAACTGTGCAACAAAAGTAGTTTTTCCATTTAACCTACCAGTCTGGAGACTGAAAAGCTTACAATCAGGGCAGAGCTACCACTAAATGAGTGTACAGAAATCTGTCTCTTTAAAGAAGAGCCCATAAACCTTACTTAAGAACAACTATTACTGACCCTGGACTTGCAATACCACAATCAAATAAACCACTTCAAACACTGTTTTCTGGTGACATACAAAAACCATGCTGTAGCCTCCATTCATTAATTCTTCCAACAGTGTTATTAAGATAAAAGTAGGACATAGGACAAACAAATTCTTTTTCTATTTCTGCAACAGCCTGTAGGTGAAACCTTGGCCTTGCAAAAATGGCCAGAAAAAGTTTGTTTCCCTTGGACTGTACTATTTACACACAGGTTTGCATTTTAGATTTCTAGTCTATCCCTAAAAGTGTGATGATCTTGCAAAAGTTAAACAAGCACGAGGCATTAGCATCACTATACTATAAGTATCCTCTCTTCTACATTGTGTGTTTGCAATGACTGTATGGATCAGAAAACTGGCATCAGCTTAGCCTATAAAGTCTGCAGTGTGTCTCTGATGACTCCCCTCCCTTGCAGCAACCACAAAAAACAGATGTTGAAAACATGGAACAAAAATTACCAGAGTTATGGTTTTGGGTCTTGTGGTGCAAAAGGCAGTCATTAACTACCTTTGTGTTTTTCATAAAGTGATCCTGTTTGTAGTGAACTTCTAATGGAGAAGAAAAAAACCAAAAAGACTACCTCTATCATACCATGTATTTTAGACCTGTAAGCTCAAAAAAAGAATAGAAAATTGAAAAGCACCAAATTATTTGCCTGGTTTTTTCCTTAGCATATGCTTCATACATTGCTCATGCAATCTTGCATCTGGAATTAGCCATTAGCAAGTTCATGTCAATGAAATATTTTAATTATACTTGCTGAACAATCCCACAACTGTTGCTTTGGCTGGGAACAGTCTACATATTGATTCCATAGCAGCAGGATGGGAAAGGAATGTTTAAATTTAACATGTCTTTCACATTAGCATGACTGATTTTCCAGCATGTTGTCTTTACTTGCATATCTTTCAGCATCAGTAGCTGTTGAATCAGACATCACAACCAGAAAAGCATATCAGACATGATCACAAGACTCTTAAAAGATGATTTCCTAAACTGCAATCCCACCTTTCCATCAATCTTTGCTATAATTATTCAAACTGGAATCCTGAAATCCATTTAACAATATACACTCAGCACACAGAATCTTTGTTACAAGATGTTCCTTAAAATGGCTGTCAATGATAAAACCAACTATTTAACAGTCATGTTCCTCCAGCGGGTCTCAAAAATATTATACAAAGGTAGCACACATTTTTAGTAGGATGGAATTTTTAGGAAAACCTCCAAAGCATTCTTTTTAAAATATTTTTAAAAACAATTAAAAAGAACCAATTAAAAACCATTATTAAAAACCAAATTAGTCTACAGAGGATCCTTTTTCATGTAAGCAACATTTAAGGGAGAAAAGTAGAAGAAAATAACATTTAATGTTGATTATCATTTAATCAATTCTTAGCCTTTTTTTAAGGTAACATACTGGAATAACACAACGGAGACCATATGCTCTGTAAATCTACAAAACACATCTACCATGTGGTACTAGATACAGCACTCTACTACAGCTGCTCCATTCACAAGGGCTTTGAAACTCACAGACATGGTGCCTTTCCAATGAACTGTAATTGGCTTGGAGGATGGGGAAATACTTATTTCCTGAATTAGAACTTTTCTATTCTTTTGTACTATAATTACAGCTAAAAGCAGCTGTGTCGTTTGCGTACCAAAACGTGGAATTTGGTGCTGCAGAAATACAGATATGTTCATTCCAGAGCAGCATTCTGCCCCGCAGCCTGGTCTGAGCCCAGGGGTCAGATCCTGCCCGTGGGACTTTGTGCCGGCGCTCAGAAGAGGGACCAGCCCAAGGATTCCAGCGGCTCCCTCTGGTGACAATCGGGCTGTCACCAAACAGGTTCTGCTGGGCCCGTTGGCAGGCCTTGGCCTTCGTGACCTCGAGCTCAGGGCTCCCACAGCGGCACCCGAAATGCCATCTGCACAT